TCTTTTTTGTTTTGTTTTGTTTTGGGGAGTTACTCTGGCAGGGCTAGGGCATCATATGGGATGCTAGGGATAAAGCCGGGGTCAGCCCTGAGTAAGGAAAATGCCCTACTGGATGTAGGCTCTCTCCCCTAAATCAAATCTTCGAAAATGAATAAATTGGGGCCAGAGTGATACTGCACACAGTACACCCAGATTCAATCCCTGGCATTCCCTATGTCCTTGAGCACCACCACCAGGAGCAACTCCTGAGTGCAGAGCCAGGAGTAACCCCTGATCATTACTGGGTATAGCCTCAAAACCTAAATAAATAAAATTAAATACAAAATGAATAGACCAAGATTAGCATTTGCATATTAGTTGGAGGGGTGGGGGACCTGAATTACCACTTACCTACTCAGTTATTTATTTAAATGCTACTGGGATAACAATAATATGGCAAATTATCTCTGTACTTAGTGTAAAGGAATTATCTAATTCCTGAAACCAAAGGAAATTCTAAAAGAAACAAGGTGTAACAGGAAAAAAAAGAGAAAGGTAAGTACTTAATAATTTTGGGACAAAAAAAAACCTTCCCAACATGATCTGTCATCAAAAAGTTATAAAGGGGGCTGGAACAATAGCACAGTGGGTAGGGCGTTTGCCTTGCACACGGCTGACCCGGGTTCGAATCCCAGCATCCCATATGGTCCCCTGAGCACCGTCAGGAGTAACTCCTGGGTGCAGAGTCAGGAGTAACCCCTGTGCATCGCTGGGTATATGTAACCCAAAAAACAAAACAAAAAAAAAAAGTTATGAAGGGAAAAGGGACAAACTTATTTAAAGAAAAAGTAAAAACATCCATCTGGTATAAATAGAAAATTGTCATACTGCAAATTTTTGTGGCCATATTCCTGATAAAATATGACTTTAGCCAGGGATGTGGCTTCGTAGCAGAGCATTTGTCTTGCATATGTGAGGCCCTGGGTTCAATCTTCACGATGCAAAAAATTAATTAAATAAAATTGCAAACAGGTTTATTAATAAAAAGTGTGAACTTTCATATATGAAAGGACTTAACAAATCTTCACTTTACAAAGAATGTTAAGAATATGAACCAACAAGAAAAAAAGGGCGAAATGCAACACAAAAATGGGTAGAAAATAGGAGTGATGGCAAAATACAAACACTCATGAACTTAGACATTCCCACAGGCATCACATGCGGAGGGTCGAGTTCAAGCCCTGCAGACACGCTCCCGACTCCCTCTCCCCAGCACTACTGGTGTATAAGGGACAATTTGTCAAAGAGAACTACAAGTAAGTACAAAGAGGCTATCAGGGCTGCTGAGAATTTGATGGCCAGGATTCACTCACTGCTGGTAAGGGTGCAATTTTGAAGTTTTTTGCAGAGTCTTTGGCAACATTTATGTTTATTTAAAATACCAGTATCTGGAGGGATGGGTATTTGATCATTGTGTAATTGAAACCCAAGCACAAAAATTTGTAAGTCTACAACTGTACCTCATGATGTCTCACTAAAAAAAAAATAATAATAAAAAATAAAAATAAAATACCAGTATCTTTCAATCCAGAAAGTTTACTTTCAGGAATATCAGATATGGTCACTCAGTACAAAGAAGTATTTACAAAACTGTTCTACAGAAAAAACCTAAATTAGTAGTACAAAATACTCACAGTACCACATACGGTTCCTCAAGCGCTTCCAAGAATGATCCCTGAGCAGAGCCAGAAGTAGCCCCTGAGCACTGTCAGGTATGGCTTAACTTCCCCCCTAAAAGAACTGGACACTGTAAGAGCTGCTCTTTTCTATTTGTATTAAACGGGCTTTTTTTCCTCTTGCATCACACCAGGCGATGCACAGGGATTACTCCTGGCTCTGCACTCAGAAATTAGTCCTGGCGGTGCTCAGGGGACCATACAGGATGCTGGGAATCGAACCCAGGTCGGCCGTGTGCAAGGCAAACGCCCTACCCACTGTACTATTGCTCCAGCCCCTGGGCATTTTCTTTATGATCATTTAAAAAACAAATTTAAGAGGGCCGGGAATGTGGCTCAGTGGTAGAACACTCGTCTGGCATGTGTGAGGGCCTTGGTTCCATCCTTGGCACCGCAAATCAATGAATCAATAGACTCCTTCCCCCGAGTGCATTTTAGAATCTCATTTGTCTCTGCTCCCTTTTTAGAGAATGGCTTTAAACGAGTGTGTCCTCACTCTTGCTAGCTGTTGGTTCTTTCATTCCATTCAAAGGCTACAAACACCTTCCCACATGCTGCTCCACAACACTCACGTGGCTTACTTCCTGCACAGGAGAGCACACCAGGGGCCTTTTGACAGCCAGAACATGGCCCAAGGAAAGCGCGCCAGGTGAAGTGACAGAGGAGTACACACAAGTCCAAACTAAGGAGAAACATTCTGCAACCAAAGCCAACAAGGAAAACAACCAGGTTCTTCAACAAATAAAAGACAAAGGGACAATTTCTTAAAACTGTTAAAACTCCATCTACTAGCTACAGTAACAATTATCCAATTCTAAACCAAACCTGTGGGGCTGGAGGGACAGCACAGCAGGTAGGGCGTTTGCCTTGCATGCGGCCAACATGGCCGACACAGGTTCGATTCCCAGCATCCCATATGGTCCCCCGAGCACCGCCAGGAGTAATTCCTGAGTGCAAGAGCCAGGAGGAACCCCTGAGCATCGCCGGGTGTGACCCAAAAAGCAAAAAAAATAATAAAATAAAATAAAACAAACCTCTACGTTATACTAAGGTGCTTGCCTAGCACATACCTGACCTGGATTCGATCCCCGCATCCCCAAATGTCCCCGAAGCATGCCAGGAGTAATCCCTGAGCACAGCCAGGTATAGCCCCCCCAGAAACAAAAAATAAATTTTTTCAAAGCAACTATAATTACAATCTTGAAACAACTGGTTATTTGGATATCGAATGGGGCATTTGGTAACATGAAATTGCCCATCTGTTTACATGTGAGACTGGCACTACCCTTAGAAAACCAAGTCTATTTTTCCTCCACAACCTCCCCTCCAGTAGTGCTAGTGGAGTGCTCTGCTCAATGCTGGGGGACTGGGGGGCCGGGGGGAACGTGTCAGACCACACCTTCTGCACGCACTGCAGCCCTCTGGACTCTCTCCCTGGCCCCAACTCTACTATCAACAGCTCACCAAGAGTGACCAAGGACCCAAAACCATTTTCATAAACTACTAGGCATCCTATTTGCCTTTTCCACTCTATGTGTAACCAGAATATCGAGTTTTCCAGAGGTTCTGGGTATCTGCTAACACTGCTTCCCACAGTGAACAATACTGCCCTCTGCGGCGCTGGGCTGGTGGGAGGGACAGGCATCTAGTATAGCCTTGGGTGCAGTTGGCTTTCCGTGGGTTTGGTTAAAGGAGTGCATTTCCAGGGAGGCAGTCAGTGTTCTTCCTTTTTTTCCCTGAACAGGGGCAGTAGGCCAAATAATCTCAGGAACATCTAGGATAATGGAACATGAACCTGCTTTTTAAGTCTCTTTTTTTAAATTTTAATCCAATGTGGCAAATATTGACAGATTAAACACTTAAAAGAAATTTCCTTACATTCCCCCCAAACCTTTTTTTTTTTGGAGAAGGGGGCCCTTGGGCCACACACACCAGTTCTCAAGGCTTCCTCCTGGCTCTGTGCTCCAGGATCATTCCTATGTAGTGTTGGGGATTGAACCGGGGTGAGCAGCGTACGAAGCAAGCACTATAACTCCTGAACTCTCTCTCTGGCCTAAGGACGTCAATAATTTAAAAACTGTCAGAAGTTCTAAGACCAAGAGGCTGGAGCTATAGCACAGCGGGTAGGGCAGATGCCTTGCACGCAGTCAACCTGGGTTTGATCCCATATGGTCCCCTGAGCACCGACAGGAGTAATTCCTGAGTGCATGAGCCAGGAATAACCCCTATGCATCGCCGGGTGTGACCCAAAAAGCAAAAAAAAAAAAGTTCTAAGACCAAGAAGTTGGAGAATGCTCGCCTATGTAACTTATGTTTCCCCAGATAAAGAGTTCATTGTAAATGGGGTGCATTAATGAAAGACTAAGTAAGGAACCTCACCCCACAAAACCTGCCTCAGCTGGACATACACATCCCTTTCAGATGTCAGGGAGAACTGAAATGAAGGTCACAATTCCTTCTGATAATTCTGGTAATGTTTCTATGTGGTATCAGTCACTTTTATACTGGCAATTACTACACTCCCATTTGCTAAATTTTGTTTTCACCTTGACATTGTAGGAATACTGTCTTCTCTTTTTAACTTTATTTAGGAGAAACCAAACCCCAAGAACAGTTCCAACTCTTTTTCTGTTCTGGAATCAGCAGTAGCAAATGTCACCTGAAACAGGTGTGCTGGCAGCTTGGTCCCGCGCTGTGAGCGGGGTCAGCTTCCGCCCTTATCCAGCGGCCGCCGACCTATTCTGGCACTTGCCTTCTCCTCGACGCATCCAGTTCCCTCTCTGCAAACCAGCCGCAGGACTCAGGCTGCACAGCCTGCCAGGACACTGGCCCCGAGGTGTGTGAGGCCTTCTTGAGTGCGGGCAGCTGCACGGGGACCCCTCCAACTCTGCCCCCTCAGCCCAGACAGCCAGACGCAGCAGGTACAACAGAGGCCAGCAACCTCTCCTAGATTCCCAGGCCTCTTCCCAGCACGTGCTGGTAATATCCCGCATTCTCCTCAGAGGCCGAAAATGGGCAATGAGACAAAAGGCCTCCACCAAGTAATCAAGGTGCAGTAGCAGTCTATTCCAACAGGGGCTTCTGAGACTTCCCACTCCAAAATCACAGAGATCCATACTGCAGCAACGAGCTCCAGATTCTAAATCAGTTTCTTCCCAGTCTGAGGGGCAGGCGGACAGCCTCAAGAACAGGAATCTACCACATTATCCCAGTTTACGTGACGCTTGGAAGGACAAGTGTTCCCCCCACTTCGTATGAAACATCCACGTAACTAAATTAACTTACCTTGGTCATGCCTCCCGCCTGTGCCGTGTTCAGTCCATGACTGGCTATCTGTGGCGACACTTGTGTCAACGTCTCGGCCAGCACACTGCCCGTGGCCCCCTGCATGGCCGGGGCAGGGTATGGCATCCCAGCCCCCCTTCCTCTGCCGGCAGCCCCCAGAGATCCATTCATGACTTGCGCCTGCCCTTGCGGGGCCTGGTTCATCAAGCTGTGGCCAGAGTTACTGTTGAGGAGGCCGGGGTGCGTCTGGTTGAAGTTAGCGTTCATGCAGATGCCAGGGCCGGGCTGCGCCGTGGCAGGGCTGCTGCTCACCAGCCCCACCTGCTTTTGTGCTTGCGGATTCAGTGCTTGGGAAGCAGGGGGAGTGGGCCCAGAGGTGCTGGCTGCCTGCTTGGGCAGGCTGGGCGCGGAAGCATCTCCCTGGCTCAGAGGGCTCTTGCCCATGGCACCCAGGCTGGCCATACTCGCACTGTTCGGCTGCCCCGGAGCTGGACCGCCCAGGCCTTGCTGCGCCGGGCTGCCGGCGCTCACATTTCCGATTCCCGGGTTGATGCTTGAGCCGCTGCTTCCACGCAGAAGCTCCGACAGTTGTTTATGTTTGGAAGCAGCGTCTGGAACAAGGTTCGCATTGTTTATAAGGCCCAAGTCTCCTCCGTTGGGGATCAGCTCGTCGGGAAGATCATTCTCCAAGTCAAACAATGTTCCATAATCTAGAAGGCAAACGGAAATGGAGATGAGAAACTAAGCACACAATAACTCTAACCTGCTACTACGTTGCGAGATCTTAACCTAAAGGGGCACGGACACCCACTAGACATAGAACACGTCGTCTCGTGAGTTAGGTCCAAGGGACTTCTAAGCCCACTCGGCAAAATACAACTGGAGTAATTTTCAAAGTCTAAAGGAAAAAGAATTAAAGACATCAGACCAAAACTAAGCCAACTAGATTTTATCCTTTATCCTAAAACAGTAATTAAAAGGTGTTGTGAGTGACAATGCAGACGGATAAGCAATAAGAAGCTATAAATCCACAGAGCTGGGCCGGGGAGACACGCTCCGTGGAGCTCAGGGGCTGCGTACAGGAACCCCGGGATCGATGCTGGCATCGCAGGTGGTCTCCGAACACCCCCAAGAGCAACCTCTAGCACCACACTGAGAAGCATTTCTGAGCACTGCTGGGCATGGGCTCCAAACACACAAAAATCACAGAATTATAGTGTGAAGACGCTTTAAAAACGTTATAGACATACAAGCAAGAAAGGCAGTTTAGCAGGCAGGGAGCCTGAGCTGAGCCTGCCAGGTGTGATTCCTGAGCGCAGAGCCAGGAGTAGCCCATCAGCATCCCCGAGGTAGCCCAGAAACAAAACAAACAAATGAATGTTATGTGTACAGGGTTCGAAAGACAGCAGAGCAGACAGGGTGCTTGCCTTGCACACAGCCAACCTCGTCCCATATGGCGCCGTGAACCCCCCACCAGGAGTGACCTCTGAGTACAGAGCCAGGGTAAGCTCTGACCATAGCTGGGTACGACACCCCCTCCCCTCCCCCCAAAGAGAATGGCACATATACCAAAAAAACTAATTAGGCATCTGGTTAGAGGAAAAGTAACTCAGAAATCCAAATTAAAGCCCAGCCTTAAGTGATTACATATTTACAAGGTAGCACTGTCCTCCTGTTGTTCATCCATTTGCTCGAGTGGGCACCAGTAACGTCTCCATTGTGAGACTTGTTGTTACTGTTTTTGGCATATCGAATACGCCACAGGGAGCTTGCAGGGCTCTGCCGAGTGGGTGGGATACTCTTGGTAGCTTGCTGGCCTCTCTAAGAGGGGTGGAGGAATTGAACCTGGGTCGGCCACGTACAAGGCAAACGCCCTACCAGCTGTGCTATCACTCCAGCGCATTTATAAGGTAAATCTTAAAAAAAAAAAAAAAAACATGAAACTGTAGAAAATAATCACATATAGATACTAAAAAGAATTAAAAGAAAATAGGGCTTGAAAACACTTTGTATCACATGAAAGAAATCAGACAGCCAGACTGAGTAGCATGCAGACTCACAGATAGAAGGAAACCACTGACTTAAACAGAAAATTCTGACAGAAGCTAAAACAGTAGACAAGAGTAGATCACTTTTTCTGGTAAACAAGTATGACAATGAGTGCAACTTCTTTTTTGAGTCCTTTTCAGAGGAACAACAGTGCTCCAACAGGCGATCCATCCCCTCAATTTATGCATACAGGTGCGAACAAGATAATGCAGAGAGACAAACACCCAAGTATCATACAAGATTTAAGAAATGGAAACAGGGCCCCAGAAATCATTCAAAGGACTAGAGCACAGGCTTCACATGGAGGCACTTCCCTGAGTAGTTCCTGGAGCAATCCCCGAGTACCACACTGTGCTGGAAGTGGTCCTCAAAAGCACCAGTGTGGGCCACCAGAGAACAAGCAAAAACAGCCAAACCGAAAGTGCAAACAGGGCTGGGGAGTTAGCTCAAGGGGCTAGTTGGTGCCCACGTAATGCATGTGGAGGCCTGGTAGGACCCTCTCTAACAGTGACCCTCAACAACGCGCCGAAAAGTACTGTTGGTATGCTCACCCTGCAAAAGAAGAAGAAAAGGGAAAGTATAAACAGTGCCCTGAGGAGCTCAGTCCAGTGGTCAGAGGTTCTAAGATCAGAATCCCAGCTCAGGGGCTGGAGAAATAGCACAGCGGGGAGGGCGTTTGCCTTGCACGCGGCCGACCCGGGTTCGATTCCCAGCATCCCATATGGTCCCCTGAGCACTGCCAGGAGTAATTCCTGAGTGCAGAGCCAGGAGTAACAAAACCAGAATCCCAGCTCAGCTATCTTCATGAAATGAACCAGACTTTCTCAGCATCAGTCTCCCCTTGAAACCAGCAAGGGAGGAAGGAGGAGCTAGTCACAGGGACGGTAACAGTCACAGGGCACAGGGCGGCCTGGGTTTTGATGCCGGGAGCCGGTTCTGAGCTCAGAGTCAGTAGCAACCCGAGCTCTGTCAAGTGCGGCCCAAATACTAAACCATAAGCAAAATGAATTAAATATGACATACTACACGTAGGAATAAAGTGCCCGGGTAAGTGCTCAGTATCAGCTATTCTTACTTTTATTCAACAATAAGGCTTACTAAAATGCCGTATAAGGATACCAGCATGTCCTACTAAAATGGAAGACTGCAGAAAGGTAGGAAAATATATGCTATGTAAAAAATACAAATGAGGGGCTGGAGTGATAGCACAGCAGGTAAGGCGTTTGCCTTGCACGCGGCTGACCCGGGTTTGATTCCCAGGATCCCACATGGTTCCCCGAGCACTACCAGGAGTGATTCCTGAGTGCATGGGCCAGAAGTAACCCTTGTGCATTGCCAGGTGTTTAAATTTAAAAAATTAAAAAATTAAAAGTATATAGAAAATTGCACTGAAGTAAGGGTAGAACGAAAGCACCCACACACTGCAGGGGTTTAAAGGTAAAGCCCTCAGGTGGGGAGAGAGGCCAGCTGGTAGTACACAGGCCTCACGTGTGCCTGGCCCAGGTCTGACCCAACACATGGTGTCTCAGCATCCTTCGGGAGATCCCCTTACCGCCCCACCAGGACAAGCACACGCAAAGGAAAGGGTTCCAGAGAAAGCAGCTGGTGGGCACAGTCACTCTTCCTCCCACCACCACTTTTAAGAAACTCAAAACTCTTCTGCCCTTTGCTAGCCCAACGCCCGCACCCAGCTGCTGGTGAACGAATTCCCGAGGGCAGGCAGCTGGAGCATGTCTTCCTCCTTCCCTTCCCTGGGAGCAAGGACAAACAGGATCCCAAGTACCATCTCCCCCCCCCCCCCCTTCCTTCCTTGCTAGTTCTTGGGCCACACCTGGCGGTGCTCAGGGCTTACTCCTGGCTCTGCATTCAGAGATCACTCCTGGCAGAGTTCGGGGGATTCAGGGGACCATATAGGTGCAGGGGACCAAACCCAGGTTGGTCATGTGCAAGGCAAGCACCCTCCTTGCTGTTCTAGCACTCTCTGCCCCTGCTCCCTGTTTTGCTGGGGTGGGGAAGGACGCCCAGCAGTGCTCAGGGCTTACTCCTGGCTCGGTACTCAGGGAGCACCAAATGGGGTTCCGGGGATCAAACCCGGGTCAGTCACATGCAAGGTAAGTGCCCTCCTTACTGTACTTCCTCCAGTCCCCACCCTCGCCTTCCTTTCTCCCTTCTGTCGGAAAACCCTCTCAGCTAAGGAAATCGTAGGTGAGTTAGCAGAAAGTCCTGAAATGTTTCCTCCCCAAATGGAAGAAGGCTTAGAAAGATGTAAGGCAGACTTAGACGCCTTGTCTCTGAAGTCTGTCCTGGGCTGAGCTGGAGCAAAAACAAAAACACGACTTCCTGAAGTCACACTGCACTTCCCAACCCATCAGGCTTCTCAATTAAGTGAGAAAAGGCACTTGCTGTCACTTAAACCTAAGGCTGCCAAATTTATTTGGCTAACCGTACCCTAAGAAAAAACATCACTTAGACTATCCCAAAATCTACCTCCAAACAAAGTCGACCTCCCTGCAACTGCACCCCGGGCTGCGACCATCCCCTTGGAGTCTTCAAATGCGCCATCCCTATTAACCACTTTGAGAGGCTCTGAGTGAAAGTTACAGTTAAATGTAGCATCAAGACATCTTGATCTCTAGTGTAGGTTCAGGTGGAGGCCAACAGGATGTGGTTCCTCCAGCTTCTCACCTTCTTGCCTTCTCTGCCCTGCACCTCCGGTACCCTCTCCCCTTCAGGGCAGCACAATGAGCCATGGCAGAGTTTCTCCCTGCTTGGACCCACCCACCCACCCCAAATTACCACAAAGACTAACAAAGTGACTGTGGGGGGGTGGGGGGGATTGAGAAACTGACAGACTGGGATTGGGCCCGACCACACCTGATAGTGCTCAGAGCTATTCACAAGTCTGTACTTGTGCTCACTCCAGGATGTGCTGGAAGACCATGGAAACTGGGCCCCTTCCCGCCCTCCCCCCACATACACACAAGCAAGCAGGTGCTATCTCCCAGCATGCAGCTAAGCTTTATGGCCCCTGCAGAACTGACCAGTTCCCCTCCTTTCGGCTCCAAAGTCCTCTGTTCAAACAGCTGCCTCAGAAACCATGTCTGATACAAACCCATCTCTTCCTATATGCCTGACCACAGATCAGTATTACTTACATGCAAGCACATGTATACACGTACACACACACACACACACACACACACACACACTCTGACTGCTTTGGCTGAACCTTCACCAGTTGGAACAGTAAGAGTCTTCTACCTACTTAAGTTTGTGTGTCCCCAATTATGACACTTAGGAAACAACACTGATACAATATTTTACATACTAATTGTCCTTACCCAAATTCTGCCAGTTGTCCCAGTCATTTTGGGGGACACACCTGGCAATGCTTAGGGGTTACCCCTGGCTGTGCGCTCGGGGATCACTCCTGGTGGGCTCAGGGGACCATATGGAACGCTGGGGATTGAAACCGGGTCTGCCACGTGCCAGGCAAGTGCCACACCACTCTACTATTGCTCCAGCCCTAACCCAGTCATTTTCTTTACCACATTCACTCTCTTAAAGTCCAATCAGGATCTCAGTGCACTGAGCTGTCATGTCCCAGTCTTCTTTGGTCTAGAGAGGTTCTCAGACTTCCCCAACTCTGAAGAGTCAGTTG